AAAGAGGTAGAGATTTAGTTCTTGTAATTTTTGCTACGTATAACATTCTTTACTTATCAAAGACTGGAGTTATTTTGTGATTCAAATAGACTGACAGCGTTATGAGGTTTTTATTGTCTACCTTCAATATAATAAATAGCTTTTGTGTGATATTGATGATACCGAATACCGAAATTTAAAAATGTGTTCTTTAAAGTTTAGCTCTATTAGAAATGAACTTCAAAAACTTTTTGTAACAATCCAATTTGGTCAGACAATAATTTCTATTAAACATAGAGTGGTAAGTGAAAGTCATCTATTAGAATGGCGTAATATCTTTATTAAATAATTAAATAATAAAATACTTATACTCAATAATGAATTTCAAACAGAGTGAAAAGTTAAATATTTAAACAATATTAATTTGAATCCATAGGGTGCCAATTCCAAAGATTTGTTTTATTCTGAAACTGAAAAAAGACCTAAATATATAAAATTAATCTTTAAAATAATGGATGAAGAGAAACACGTTCTAGTTTAATTCATCGGGAGGAAAAACATCTATTTCGAAAATCTGTTGACTTTTATTCCCAGTAGGGAGAGGGGAGAGGAAAAGAGATGTAAAAATTTGATTTTGCCTCTCTGGTAAAAAACCTAATATCCACACTGCTTAATAATGGCTTTCCTAAAAACTAGAATCTTTAACATTAACGTATGTTCTTAAAGGCTTATTGATTGTATCGAACGAAAATCGAGAAAAACAACTTCGAAAACCAATAGACACAACCGCTTCACCGAAACGCTTAAGCAAATTGGCTGAATCTAAAACAGGATATTGAAAAAGTTTTCAGGAAGTACTTGTGAGCTAATATGTGTCTAACTTCCAACTGAATAACATGATCAAACGGGGTATAGCAAAGGGTTCGTAAGATGAGATCCAAACAAATAAATAAAAAATCAATAATACATTATAAACTTTCTATTGATTTTAATTAAATTTTGTAGATATTGTATAGAAGCGTGTATGTATTCTAATTAGTTTTTGTTTATTTTAGTTTATATAATTTACTTTTAGTATAATTATTTTGCTTTGTATTTATTTTTAATCATTGTACATAGTATGAATGAGCTACTCTTTTATCACTACTACTATTGCTCTTAGATGTGATAGATTGTAATATATCTCAATAAATAATTTAGTAATAAAAAAGTATATTCTTAGTATTTTTTTTTAAGTATCAACTGAGACAGCTTAATTAATTTACATCTCTTTTTATTATTTAGTCATCATCAAATTATATTTACATAACAAATATTGTTTCATAACAAATATCGTTTTATTGTGAGAAAAATAAAGAAAAATATATTTTAAAACATATAAAGTTTATTCATCAACATCAGGAAGAAAGTTTTGTTATTTAAAAAAAAAAACATCATTGAAGGCAAAATATTCATAATGAAAAAAATATATTAAAAAACAGGGTTTGAAATCGATATTTATTTTTTTCATTAAATCATGAGTTTAATTTCATGTGAATATTTTCATTTCCATTTAAAATTGATTTCAGAGGTCGGTAGGTTTTTCAATTTAACGTTTAACATGACACGTACAAGGAAAATATATCAAGTTTAAACACGAATTGTGCTTCAGAACATCGTTTAAAAAAGTATTAAATACATTTATATAATATTTTATTTAAAAATTTATAAATATTTTATTTATAATTTTATATACAATTTTTTTGAAAGATGATCAGTTCGAGAAAATATTATTCCAGTTTTTCAATATTAATATTAAACAAAAATAAAAACATTTCTAATTAAATTACATTTGAAAAAAATAAACAATTAATCATTTTTCAGAAAATAGTCGAAACAAATATTAAATAAATGCTTACGTTTAAATGATATATTTTATTTTTAAAAACATATATATTTTTTAAATAGAGTAAAGGGAATTTCAAAAACTAATAAAAGTAAATGTAAAGAAAAATTAATGATTTTATATAGACTTTTTTGAAAAATTATAAAAATTAAGCGTGAAGAAAAAAAAATTATTATCCCAATTTGGCATACGTAAAACTAAACAAATATTAAATGAACTATACGGTGTTTAGTAAAAGTTAAATAACTTTTAAATTCTGAAAGCTTTCAAACAAGTATACTTATTTTTTGCACTAAATTATGATATTCTACATTTTATTCAATCAAAAATATTGATATCATTTCTATAAGTTGATAAAAAATTGACTTCCTGATAATTTAGACCTTCTTTTATTTAATAAAAATAAGAGAAAAATGTTTTTTTAAATATTTTTTTTTATCTTCAATTTTCTATTTAAGATATCTCCGAACTAAAATATTATCTTTTTTTTTTGTAAAAAATAGTAAGTACTTATTCTTATACATTTCCGCTAAATGCAGTTCAACTATTTAGACGAATAATTCATTCCGTAAATTTAGTGTTTTATTTTTTTCGTAACTTTTCTTTCTTTTTCTGTATTATTTTTCATCATTAGTAAAGAAGGTGATATTTTAAATGATAGTTGTTGACATCTGTTTTTATGATATATTAAAGCAGAGAAAGGTACAATAACAAAAAAAAAAAAATTGAGAAATAATACATAAAGATAATTTTCAGACAAATTATTAAAATATCGTAAACACCGTTTCGAACTAATCAAATAAATATATAAATTAAAATGAGATTAATTATTACATTATTTACTAAACTAATTTGAAAACATAATCAAGTTGGGTTAATTCCAATGATATAATTTACCCATGTTTCATTTGATAAATGAGGCATTGGATGAGACAATAAGCACTGATTTATTGCCAACTGTGATATGTATTACTTTTCAATAAATTCAATAAAGATTATGAATTAGTCACTTATATGGTATATAGATACCAGATGCTACCAGTAATACAAATGACAAAAAAAATATATTTAAAAAATGAAAACAGATATTTAATTTATTCATTATTTTATGAACTTTTTGAAGATATCAAAATCATTTATATTTTTTATTTAAGTTAATCCGTACTTTTAATTTTTAAATATTCATCGTAATTATATTTTCTGATTAATTTATTCAATCCTTCAATTAATAAATTACCATCAGAATCATTTATTGTTTTGACATTTCGTTTTTTTTCATGAATTGATTTCTTAAAGATTTAGGAAGACTTACGAGGTTTGCCGTCATTAAATTATCATCATATGAACCGCACTGTGTTAAATTTCCTGTACCGAAATTATTCATATTAAACTTTTTATTTACTATTTAAATTTTTTTTTTAATTATATTACATTTTCCAATTTATTTTATGTTATTTTTATATTTTATTTCTTGTTTTGTTTAGCCGCTTTGAGGTATCCCGCCAAATATTCATTATAATAATCGCAATATGTTAAATTTTCTTTAGCAAAATACTATAAATTATATTCACTAAGTTAATTTTTATTTATTTATTATATTATTCTTATTTATTTATTTTTTTTTTTGGAAACTTAAGAAGTTCTGTTGTTATAAGAAATGTACTATGGTGACTTTTTTTAACAAAATACTTCGTGTAAATATAATTTTTTAAATATTTTTTCTTTTATTTTATTCTGTTGCCTACTTAGATGTTTTCCAATTGTTACAAAAATCTGTTATGAGAGAACTATATACATTTTCTTCAACAATGTACTTTATATCAAAATTCTTTTTTATTTATATATTATAATTATTATTTATTTATTTATTTTTAGGAATATTAGATGCTTGCAAATTGTTTAATATGCTATAAATACTATAAATTATATACGTTTTTAACTTATTTTTATTGGCAACCTGTAGTTATTCAACCAACTTGTTATAAGATCTACACTAAATTAAATTATCTTTAACAAAATACTTAATAGTAAATTATTTTTAATTTAATTACATTTTCCTGTAAAATTAATTTTTTCCAAATTAACTTTCAAAGTAATTTTTTTTTCTACTGATTTTATATTTGTTTTTATTTAACCTTTTATTTAGCAATTTGGAGGTATCCCATCAAATTGTCAAACCGCACTTCATTAAATTGTCTTTAAAAAAATACTTTACATTAAATTCTTTTCATTTAATTTTTTTTAGAGAGTGGTGACACTTATATGTAACCAAATTAACAAATCGTTTTAATATAAACAGCAATTTGTCCAATTTTCTTTGACAAAATAATACATATTATATTCATTTTTTAACTTTTTTTTTTCTGTTTATATTTTTCAGACAACTTAGATCTTTTCAGATCATGTTTATTACAACCGCTCTATGTTAAATTTACTTTAAAAAATTTTGTATTTTTTTGTTTATCAACTTGGAGGAACCCCATCCATAAAATAATTATAGGAATAGTACTACATTAAATTTTCTGTAAATACTTACTATTGTATTAATTTTTTAACCTTTTTTTTTTACAACTTAATGTTTTCCAAATCATTTTCGTAAGAACCGCGCTATATTAAATTGTCTTAAACAAAATACTTTACATTAAACTGTTTATAATTTTGTTTTCGTGGGGAGAGGACTTATATAATTCCAACTTATCAAATTTCTTTCATAAGAACACAACTGTGTTTAACTTTCTTCATCAAAATACTATACATTATATACAAAATACTATACATATTCATTTTAATTTTTTTTTTTATTTATTTATATTTTTATGAAGACTTGTTTTTGCAATTGTTATGAGGTCCGCACTATGTTACATTTTCGTAAACAAAAAATTTAATATTAAATTCTATCTATTTATATTTTTTTTTTCAGAGGGGGGACCCAGACGTTTCCAAATTGTCATTTTTTTTTTTTTATTATTCTAAGAACAACACTGCGTTATATTTTCTTGAAGACACTTCATTTTAAATTATTCTTCGGCAACTTACAGGTCTCCCGCCAATGTTTTTAACATCAGAAACCAGGTATATAAGGTTCCCCTGTGCCATTTCTTATATTATAATTATGGATATTATGATATCCACTAACCTGAGACAGATCGGAGTCGTCCCTGATCTTCTGGTCGATGGTGTAGTTGTGCCTGGAGGACACGACGGTGAAGAAGGAGAGAGCTAGGATAAGAAAGAGAGCCATCCTGGACGAAGGCTTGGCCCTGACTGGGAGCTGAGGATCGATTTCCTCCTACCACCGCCCAGTCGCGATCGCCATTCCCTCCCCCCCTCCCCCCACCGCTCTTATCTAACAATAATATATAATAAATACAAATATATATAATAAAATATAATGTAATTTACATATATAAAAATAAATAAGAACGCTTATTAAAATATACTAGTTGTCAAAATTAGACCATAATCATTATTGAAAATTTGAGGAAAAAATTAAAAGAATTTACATGTTTCCAAAAATTTTTTCCTACTCTTATATGTCCTTAAATGCACTTTTATATATACACCATGATCGATAGTCCGAACCTCCAGTAATTCGAAATTCCGAGTAATCCGAACAAGGAAGAAAAAAATAATTGAAGATTGGTTGGGGTATTCAGTATAAATATTATCCAGGATATACGATTTACGGGAATTTATTAGCTGAAAAGTCACTCCAGAATTAGATTGCAACATTTCAAAAAAATTGGTAGAGAACTTCCGGTGCGGTTTGGACATTTATACATTTGACAAACTAACATTTATATTTTTATTTTTATATACTATTTCCAATTTGCTTCCTATTGATAGCACTAAAGTTTGTCAATGGCTACTATACAAAAATTGAAAAAATGTTGAGAAACAGAGGTCTTTTAAAGGCAAGAACGGTTTCTATGGAACTGTTTAATCACAATTTTCGGAATATCTCCGATATATGGTTACTCCAGGAGAGATGAAGATCGAAAGTGACACCAATTATATTTATATTTTTCGGTTTTTTTTTTATAACTTCAAACAACGAGTAATGGTTAATTATTTATTAAAAAATAACAATAAATGTACTTAAGAGCCGTTTTGAACATCCTGCATTTGAGGGGGGCCAGACTATATTAATGTCGATAGAATAAGTAGTTAAAGTCCCTTAAAATAGTAATCATTATATCAATGGGTAGTTTCTCCAAAAATCAAATTAATTTCATATTAATCTAAACTAGCATATAAACTTTTTGTAAAGTAAATTTGAATAAATATAACAATTCGAAGTACAAATGACCCTAAGAATCGAGTCCTAATATAAGGAGAAGTATTCGAATCCTTCATCCTCGCCGATGTTATTAACTTAGCGATGGAGAAAGCGATAAGAACATCACGTGAAAATGAAAGAATTTAAATCTTGGGATATGCAGATGACATAGATGTCTTGGAAGTAATCAAGAGGATATTAGAAACTCGCTAAGACTCTGATAAGAGAAGCAGACATTGGTCTACAAGTAAATGAAGACAAAACAAAATATATGCCAAAAATTTGATCTCAAGGATTTGTGTAGAAGGAATAGTTTCAAAGAGTAGAAAAAAATCAAATACATGGCCTCCACAAAAACCTCAATGAATGACCAAAGGTAGAAAATTGAGCAAAGTATAACTCGCGTAAACAGAGCTTCTTCTTTCTTTCAAAGATATTCATTGAATTCACATTGAAATCTCGAGAAACCTAAATAAATCTCATATTAAGGGAGTACAATGATATGATAAAGCCAGTTATAAGATATGGCTGTGAGATCAGGACAATAACTTTCTAGAAAAACGTATTGAAAGATTTGAGAGAAAATTCCTCCGCACGATAACCGGAGCGATCTGGCACCAGAGTACTACTGCATGTCAGAGAAGGATCAATAAAAAAGTACTTTCAGAAACTGCTCTATCAATATCTCATGATATGAAGGCAAGGTGGTCAAGTAGCTCGAAGCAATCTACCATGAAGGCTCTACGCAATAATAAATGTCTCAACGATGCCAACAGACCACATAAACGGAAAAAAAAAACAGATGGATAGATCGAATCAACACATATGCAATAGAGCTATATGATAACAGGAAAGAAATAACCAAGATAGGCAAAGATGGAGAAGGCTGTTCAAGACGTCAAAAGAGCCAAAACGTCTGTAAAGCCAAAAGAAAAATAAATAACTGTCTGAAAAATAACTTTTGTTTTGGATTTATTAAAACTCAAGTAGGTCAGTATAGCTTCCTGTCTATTTAGAGTATGTGAGCAAAATTAAAATAAAAAAGTGTAAAGAAAAATAAATTTATTTGTTAATTTCGATGTTTCCAAAAACTAAAAAAAATTGGCATAACTGAACAATTTTTAACTAGTCCCGAACTTCATCCAACGTTCTCCAACTATCCCATCTGACGAACGGTTTATGAAATATTGTTATGTTACATAAGCGGATCCAGAATTTAATTTTGAGGCTTCACCCAGAAAGCTTTTTTCCATATATATATATATATATATGTATATATATAGGAATTACCATTGATCAAAATCTATCATGGAAACCCCATATTGCTCATATCTCCAGAAGGTCAATTGGTGCACTCAAACTCATCGTTCTCGTCAGCATCTCCCACAACCTATCCGCAAGCTCCTCGTTTCCTCATTGATTTTCCTCTACTTTGACTATGGCTGTGTGGTATATGGTGGCCTCTCGTTGAAGCTTGAGGACAGACTGAAGAGAATCATGAACTGTTCTTTAAGATTTGTGTTCGGCACTTCGAGATGGTCTCATGTGTCCCACCTATATTCCGAGTCAAAGTGGCTCTTCCCCTCTTCCCGCCGCCTATACTTCCTTGGAAATTTCTTATATCAAACGATCAGCTCCCAGCACCCTTCCTATATCTGTTGTCTCCTCCAGCCTAAACCCTTAGTCCACTCAATAAAAACGAGATCCCGTGTTTCTTTCTGACCTCTATATTCCTTTCCACAGGACAAAAACCTATGAACGCTCCTTCTTAGCCCGTTCCGTCACCTATTGGAATTCTTTGCCATATATCATCCGTCATGCCTCTTCACTGTCAACCTTCAAATACCTCCTTTTCCAATATCTCCTCACATCCCAAACAGACGATTCGCAACCATAAATTTCATTTTAAGAACTGAATTTGTGAGAAGTAAATGGTGGTGCCTACAGTTTAAGTTTTAACATAAAACAGCAATGATTTTTGACTATTATTTTTACTATTTATTTGTATTTCTCTTCACCTCAGTTTGTACTTTTTCTTTCATGTATATATAAGTTTATATTTTATACTTTTTGTCTCACTGTGTAGCAATATGAGTAAGTATGTATATATAGTTCCTTTTTTATCTTTATACCACAATTATTCCTGAGATTTTATTTTATCTTAGTGTTTGCTTATTATTTTATGAATCACTGTAAATATTATTACAAATTAGTTTTTGGCCAGATTGGTATTTTATTTTGTATTAATTCATCTTTGTTATTCTAAGGGGACTTAGTCCCAGAATAATGTTCTATTTTCTATTCTATTCTATATATGTGTGTGTGTGTGTGTGTGTGTGTAATTGCTTTGGAAAAAAAAGAAAGAAATTAACTACCTATATGAAATGGCGTTTAAGTGATTGTAGAAGTCCTATTAAATGTAATTATACGAACAATAATACTTTTAAAAATTATTTTTTCCATAAAACATTGCTCTTTTTACCATTTTGTGGAGGGGGAGATTCAGCGCGAAAGCCTCCCCTCTCTCCTCCCCCGTAGATCCACCTGTTGTCATGCCAGTAAAAATAACTTTGTGTATAATACATAAGATCTAGATAACGACACTGCAATCCATGAAAATTCCATCAAAAACAGAATAACAGTAGGAGGCGTTATTCCTACCAAATGGACCTTTCGTTGGCTATAGACATAGAACCCTTTGTTCCTTAATGTTTGAAACATAAAATACAGTTCGATTTTAAATAATGAGTAACATTTCTCCCGTAAATCATAATAATTTGTAAAAATTAAAAACAATTGACACGATAGGTAATATTTAATACTTAAAAGAAAGAATTAAAAAGGGTGCGTGCGTGTCTACCATCCATGAAGCATAGATTCAAGACCAACACAGTTACTGATAATACACGAGCAATTAAAAAGTTGGTTGAGGGATTTCACAGACTTTTTAACAGAATATCTAACTAATTTATAATATATAGAACAGAAGCATATATTTAATTTAATTCCATTTGTTAGTAAAATAATGTTTCTTCTACAACAATAGATCTTGAAGTACAAGAAGTTGAAATTCAACATCAAGATAAATCTTCATCAAATTAAAATTTTGTGGACTGCGAAACAAACATTAATTTACATGCTGATATGATCTCTTAAATTATTTAATTATATCTTAAATTATTATTTTCTCGATTTAGTGATAAAATTGTGTTACGATTGAAATAGAAAACAAGTGTGTATTAACGAGTTTTTAGTACCTTATTGAGTTAATTATAGGTTTGGCAAATAAGACCTTTCAGTTTTTCAGGGTAATAAAACTCAATGTACTATAGACATAACATTTATTTTAATCTACAATATACTGACCATTATTTAACACGACTTTTTCCCATCTTTCCACTAATTGCATAATGACGTCCTCTTCATTTTGGAATTTCTTTCCATTCATGGAGTTCTGCAGAGAGCGGAATAATTGGTAATCACTTGGAGCTAGGTCTGGTAAATAGGGAGGGTGGGGCAAAGTATCCCATCAAAGGCTCAATAATTTATTGCGAGGGACCAATGAGGTGTGGGGCCTACGTAGTCTTGGTATAACACAACATCCTTCCGATCATTCATAACTCTTCAGGATGTTCTCCAAATTTGATGTTACTATATCTGTTGAAAAGCGCTGCATTAATTCTCTTCAAAGCCGTATGAATGGTTTAATAAATTAACGCCTACGTAAAGAATAAATAAACGAAAACTCCTTTTAGGTTTTTATTTTTTATCTCCATTTGTAGTTTGTTAACGAAGGTCCTGTTGATGTATTTTTGTGCAGTTTATGTGGCCCTAAATTCCTGCTAAATTTCTTGTGGATAGCTAAAGACGTATTGAAGTTATAACATTTTTTGTTATTTTCGAAAAAAAATAATTTGAACATTAAGCCTGGAAACATAGCCGAGCTTGTGCAAATGGTTTTCTATGCCTCTGTGAGACACATTTAGGACCA